CCTTCAGAACCTATCCCCCTCCTACCTTTCTAACCTCTTTTTGTTTTGTTTTTTAATTTTAAAATTATGTCCGTTTTTTCAGTCAGCAAAAATCTGCCTTCTCTCCCTCTCATCCCCCAACTGAAAACAAAATAAAAACAAAAGCCTTGTGACAAATATATGTATGTGTATGTGTATACATATACTTGTGTATACACACACACACACACACACACACACACATATAATTAGTGAAACATGATAAATTTCCACTTTGGCCATGTCCAAAAAATGTCTCATTTTTTACTCTGAGTCCCACACCTTCCTATCAGGAGGTAAGGGAGCCTTTTTTATCATTAATCCTCTGGATTTGTGTTTGGACACTGATCAGAGCTTCTAATACTTTCAGAGTTGTTTATTTTTATCATATTTCTTGTCACCATAAATTTTTTTTTACCATAAATTGTGCCCCTGATCACTTCACTCTGTATTAGTTCGTATAAGCCTTCCCAGATTTCTTTGAAATCATCCCCTTCATCATTTCCTATGGTACAGTAATATTGGTTCCTTTTTATGTACCATAACTTACTCAGCCATTCCCCAATTTATGGGCATCCCCTCAGATTCCCGTTCTTTGATACTTCAAAAAGAGTTACAACGTTTTTGCACATCCTTGGAGTTTGTTTTGCTTAGGACTAATCTCTCCTTTAATTTACTATTCCTCTATTTCCCCCTTCCTCCCTTTCTTTTCTGTTTCTTTGTAGAATAAAATACATGTTTGTACCCAGCTGTGTACATATGTATTCTTCTCTCCTTTGACCAGTTCATATGAGAGTGTGATTCCAGCGTCAGCGATTTGAACCTCGGCTGCTCTCCCCACCCCATCCTCCTTGCTTGTAAAGATGTCTACTTAAGCACCCTGATTATGGGAGATTTTTTCTTAATCTTCCTTTCATTTCCCTCCCAAGTATACTTCTCTTTCCCTCTCTTTATATTCTTTTTTCCACTTAATAGGATTTTATTTTTTCCAATTACATGTAGTTTTCCACATTCACTTTTATAAGATTTTGAGTTCCAAATTTTTTTCTCCTTCCTTTCCTCCCCAAAACGGCAAGCTATACATGTATAGTCATATTAAACATATTTCCACTTTAGTCATGTTGTGAAAGAAGAATCAGAATGAAAGAGAAAAACCATGAGAAAGAAAAATTTAAAAAGCCTCTCTTTTTATTCTTAAGATCATCAACATATATAATAGAACCATTCCCAGGCCTTCTGTCCAATTAAACTCACTCTGTGACCCCCGATGATGATAGGGTTCAGAGAGGATACTCATATTGTCTCCTTATATTAGAATGTAAGCAGTTTATCTTTAATTCCTTATCATTATTTGACCACATTTATCTTTTTATGGTTCTCTTAACTTCTGTGTTTGAACTTCAGTGTTTCTATGCAGCCCTGGTCTTTTCAGCAGGAATGGTTAGAAGTTCTCTGTTTCATTAAAGGTCCATTTTCCTCCTGTAGCATATTCGGTTTTGCTGCCATAAGCCTGTATCTTTTGCCTTCTAGAAATGTTGTATTTCATAATGGTGACTGCTAAATCGTATAACTTAGCAATAAGTGCCTAGGGGTCTGACTGTGGCTTCTTGGTACATGAATTCTTTCTCTCTGGCTGTGCTTGAAGCATTAAAAATAAAACTTTTACCTGCAGTCTCTGGATTTTGGCTATAATGTTCCTGGGAGTTTTTATTTTTGAGTGTTTTTCAGGAGGTGACTGGTGGATTCATTCTATTTCCAATTGGCCCTCTGATGTTAAGAGATCTGATTAATTTTCTCTTAAGAGTTATTGAAAAATGATGCCTGGGCTCTTGTTTTGGTCATAGCATTCATGTAGTATGATAATTTTAGATTTTTTTTCTCTTCACTGTGTTTTCTGTCAGTTTTTTTGGTCTGAAATTTCTTATATTTTATTCATTTATTTTTTAGTCTTTTGATTTTGTTTTATTATTTCTTGTTGCCTCATGGGAGTCATCCATTGGCTTCTATTTGGTCCGTCCTAATTTGCAGGGCGTTCATTGTTTGGGCAAGATTTTGTACTTCCTGTGCCAAGCTGTTAATTCCCTTTCCAATCCTATGTTTCGTAGTTCACGTTTCTTTTTTACTGTAGTGCTCTTATTTCATTGACAAAATGTTCTTTAACTGTGGTTTAGGAATTCAGTTTGTGCCCAAGCTATGTTTTTCTCTGAGGCTTTACTTGTAGATGTTTTGAAGTTACTCTCTTCTGTGTTTGTGTCTTGAACATCCCTTGCTCATCATGGGGGGGGTTCTTTTTTGTTTGCTCATTCTTCCAGCCTACTTCTTGGCTCCAGATTTGAGGTTGGGTCTGGGGCAGTTATGGAGGCAAGGACTGCAGTGGTCCTGTTGCTGCTTTCTTGGAATATTGTGTGTTGTATTATTCCAGGATCTCAGCGACAGCTCAGTCTGGGTACCTGTAAGCTTTCAGTGCTCCAGGAGTAGTCTGATCCAGGGCAAAGTTGGATTGTTGTCCTGACCTGGGTTTGGGTCTGAGAAATAGGAAATGCTATAGGACTCTGCCCGCATCAGCTGTGGGAACTTCTGCAGGTTCATCTTGACAACTGCAGGCTCCCCTTTGATCGAGATTCCTGCCTTGCTTATTCCTGTGCAGGCTTCAGACTGGGCAAGAAGCTGGGAATGAGACCCTGCTCCTGGGATCAGAGCCACACCACTGCCGCTGACTTTTGAACTGTTCTCTGCAGGAGTGAGGGGTGCTGTGGGGAGTGGGAGGGGGAGGGAAGGCGTAGGTCCCCTTCTCAGTCTGTTCTGGATCTGTGATCCAGGTAATGGGCAACAAAGCCGTCTGCACCTTTCTGAGTTGCCATGCCCTATGAGGGTGTAGGGGTATGTGGGCGTGGTTCTGAGGCCTCCTCTTGCCCTAGTGCACAATCTCTCCTTATACTGGAGTGGTCTGGGCACCCACACTTCTGGCCAGACCCCGTCTCTGCAGTGTCCACAGACCTCTTTTCCTGTTTCCCAATGCAGACCTGGGCTGGAAAAATGACTAACTGTGACTTTTTCTTGGATTTCTCCATCAGGATTTGATCTGGTGCATTTTGTGGGTCTGTCTGGAATTTTCAGGGGCAGCTTGCTGTGCTGTTTCCTGATGCTCTGCCATCTTTCCACCTTATAGCCCCCCCCACACACACACAGTGTGATAGAGACACTGGCCTCCTGGCTGTCCCTCACACAAACTACTCCAGCTCCCAGCGCTGGGCCTTTTCTTTGGCTGTCTTCCCACAGAACAGTGTTCCTCCTCATCCTGTTTCCTGGCTTCCTTCAAGTCCCAAATATATATGTGGATGTGTGTGTGTGTGTGTATAAATAAATAAACGAGCAAATAAAGACATAAATATGTTGTATATAAGTGTTTGCATGTTATCTCCCCCTCACCTTAGACTGTGAGCTCTTTGAGGATGGGGACTATGGTTTTTGCCCTTTTTTTAGATTCCCCCGTGTTCAGCACAACACCTGGCACTCAATAAATGTGTATTACCTATTGACAGTTAATTAGCCAGGCCTTTGCTTTAGGGGTCCAGAGTTTTGTCAGTGATTTTAGTAGTGGGCGCCTTCCCTTCTGAGAAGCAGCTCTGAAACCCTTTCCATAGGAGTATGACCTTATAGAATCTTAGATGGAGATTGGACCTGAGAGGTCATCACTTGATGGGAGAGACATGTCGCCCACGACTAAGTGTTGCATCAAACGGAGAAGTGTGCAATGAAGAGATGTGGGCCAGGTGGGTCAGTGAGAGACTGAGCCAATTTATTATTTTGAGGGTCCAGTTTAAATAGTGAAAGCCAACAGTCATCCCCAAGGCGTTCTCACCATTCTTATGGGACTAATCCTAGCCCTTAGGTGCATCCTTAGTTATTCACACCTCCTTGCCATCAAGGTTCAAGGGGCAGAGTATTCTAACACCTTCCAGGCATGAGAAGTTGGTGAGCCAAATATTCTAAATAAGTAAGTCCTTACAGGTAGGAAAAGGAAAGAGTCAAACTCTAACCTAAATTCCTTATCCCATGTTAGACTCTTCAGCTCTGGCCCTCCACAGAGACACTAAATGACTGACCTGGCATCACACGGGTGACCAGAGGCAGAGCTGGGATTCTAAGCCACTTTGTCCAACTCCAGACCTAGCCCTCCTTCCCTGTATCGCCCTGTTGCTTCTCAGCACACCATTCCTTGCATGTTTGTGGCCAAAAACGTTCACCGCCTCGTGATCAACCTCTCCACAAATAGCTAGGTTTGTTATTGGAACACAAACAGCACCCACTCCCTGCTGGGACTCTTGAACAGCTTGGATGTCGGCCCCACTGGAGTTTATGTTGTGCTACAATAGCTTCCAGAGACCCCAGATGAGTTCAGCTGTACAGCGTGATGAACATCAAACCCAGGGCTGTACAGGAGCCGCACCAGCTCCTGAGAGCTGATGATGAAACCTTCAGTGGGAGCATTCATACTTCAGCAAAGCTACAAACCAAGGCTTGCTATGCATTGTTGATTGTCTAGAGTCAGGGGTGGGGAACCTGCGGCCTTCCAGGTGCTTGGGGGTGGCCTTTTGGCTGAGTCCAAGTTTTACATAACAAATTCTGTTATTAAGGTGATTTGTTCTGTGAAGTTTGGATTCAAAGGGCCGCACTTGAGGACCTAGAAGGTCACATGTGGCCTCGAGACCGCAGGTTCCCCACCTTTGGTCTAGACAATGATGGAGAAAACTGTAATAATGCAGATTAAATGTAAAAGTGTCCATGCGTGCATTTTTTTCTGGGGAGCTCTCAATTAAACATTTACCCATTTTCTTTGTTTTTTCTGTTAGAATGCTGACGTTAACTGCAAACAGACTTTAAAATGCTGACATTAACTTCAATTAATGATTGGAGTCCTTTTTGTGGAAATTATTGCATATAACTTTTGCTTGTATTACAAAGAAATGTCTCTCTTTCAGAGATTAAACCTAAGGAGAAATCAACAGATCCTTCTTCAGAAAAATGGTACCAAAACGAGCAGAAGCAGAGTGGTGATCAGAGCTCAAAAGCTCACTTACCGAGCCAAAAAGCTAACGAAAAAGACAATTGTCATAGGTAATGTCACATTTAATGATAGCCTCTTGATATTTTTTGTGGAAGACTAGGACAAAAGAAAGTAGTATGGAATGAGCTCCTATCTCCTTAGATAGGATAGAATTATCCTAAAAAGTATTATTGGAAGATGCTCTGTAAGCAGTGTTAAATAAAAATGTTAAAAAAAATTTATTGATCCTAGACATCAGTGTTATCAAACTCAAATCCCTGGGGCTCCATAATGACTTAGAAAACCACACAGTATCATTCATTATGGATATTCTATTGTATTTTTCAATTATTTTCTTAAATATTCCCCAATTACATTTTAATCTGGTTCAGGTGGCACTCAGAAGGGTTGCCTGTAGAGTATTTGATATCTCTGCTGGACACATTCAAAAGGAAAGAATTAAACAGTTCTCTTTCAGGCATCCAGTTTCCTAACTATTTCAGTATAAATACTTTGGGACCATGTCTCATCACTCACTTTTTTCTTTTATTCATCCTGATTTTCTGTTTCTTTTTAAAAATTTATTGTTACATTTTCTTTTCATCTAGCAATCACTTCCCAACAATGCCCAAACAAGAGCCCACCCTTTGCAAAAAGCAAGGAAAGGAGTGGATGTAGCCTTTAATTTGAACAGTACGTGACTGTTGGGACCAACTAGAGTTCTGTTGCCATGAGTCCATGTCGACCTTGTTCGCGTTGTGGAGTCACAGTGTGGGTGGTTTCTTTGCCCTCTAGTAATCTTCATTCAAAATTTCTCAGATTCCTCCAAATCCTTCCTATTTATCATCCCTTAGGTACAGCTATATTTCATTTGATTCACATGTTTATTCCCTAATTGTTTGGCCACATATTTTATTTCTATCTCTTTACTGTTACAAATAGCACAGTGATGAGTGTTGATATATATGTGTCAATAATATCCTTGAGATGTAGTCCTAGTAGTAAAATTTCTGGATCAAAGGGAATGAACAATTTCATTTAACTTTGTGGGATAGTTCCAAATTGTTTAACAAATCTTATAACCGATTTTAAAATCACTTAATGTACTTTGTTATGATTTCAGAATGACTAAAAGTTTCCTTAGAAAACTTTGCAAGGACCAAAAATTATATATGACTCCAGCATTAAATGACACGCTTTATTTACACTTCAAAGGTAAGGCTTCGGTTTTCAGACAGGCGTGGAAAGTTCACCTGTGAACCTAGCAGGCATCTGGAGTGGAGGGGAAAGAGGGCTGGGCATGGAGTCAGAAAGCCAAGATCTAGGCCTAGCCTTTCCCTTGTGGGCTGGGTGACCTTCCTGCAAGGGATGCTCACTGGGCCTCAGCTTCTTCTCTGAGAATAAAAACCTCGCAATACCTTCTCTGCCCATTTTGAAGATTACTGTCAATGAGATCATGTATATACGTGGTTTGTAGGAAGGAAGGAAATGAACATTTATTAAGCACGTCATATGTAACAGGTACTGTGCTCTAAATACTTTACAGACAACGCATTTGATCCTCGCAACAGCCCTGACTGCTGTTTCCTTAATAAAGGAAGTAGGAATTGGGGCCAGAAGTTTGCTCACTCTGCTCTCCAGAGAGGCAGAGTATTGGGCTGGAACTAGACCTATTTGCTTCCTTAAATGTTATCAGTCTAAGGGATGTTTATCAGATTAACTCTACCTTCTGAATGGTTTCATCAAGGGAGAGAGGGGCATAGTGGGGAGCGGAAGCAGGACTCTCACCTTGATATCCAAAGCTTGACTCCCTTTCCATCAAATACAAATTCCACAATGAAACATGTAGAAATTCGCAAAGAAACCTATTTATCCAATTTGATAGCAAACAGAAATCAGAGAAAGTATACAAAAGAACACACACACACACACTCTCTCTCTCTCTCTCTCTCTCTCTCTCTCTCTCTCTCTCTCTCTCTCTCTCTCTCTCTCTCTCTCTCTCTCTCTCTCTCTCTCTCTCTCTCCCTCTCCCTCTCCCTCTCCCTCTCCCTCTCCCTCTCTCCCTCTCTCCCAGATAACACAGGGTGAAGGCACTCTCCCACGGGGAATGAGATAACTCAGCTCAGCTGAGAGTCTCAGAGCTCACTCAAGGAAAAGTTCCCAAGGTCTCTAGTGTTGCAGTCTGGGGACAGGCACATGATGGAGACTGCCAGCTCCCCTCATGTTGGCTTCCTCCCACAGTCTCAGCAACCTGAAGTGGGACAGGCCTCAGCCGTCTTCTCTCTGGAAGCCCAAAGCACACCAAATGCTTGAAGAAAGCAGAGGAGCTCTCCTCTCCTGCCCTAGCCACCTCTGCTCTGCCCCTCACACAGGCACAAGACATTGATCGTCTCCACTAAAGAGAAAGTCCCATCCCGGTGAACTAGAGTCACTGTGGATTTACACTTTTTGGGAAAACCATTTCCAGTACAACAATGTCAATAAAACCGTAATAGGCTTAGCTAGATAGGGGTTCCTCAAATGCAATGCTGTCATTTTGTGGGCACTTGGTTTTGTCTTGTTCCGATCTCATGGGTTGAACTAAGAGCTGTTTATTTCCAGGTCATTCCCTTCAGACCTGACCTTTCATCTGACCCTTCAGCCTTCCAAGTACCACAACTAGATTATTGTGAAAACTTGCCAACTTCACTATTTCTACCTCTCCCTTCCTGAGTTCATCCTGTATAGAAAGGCCAGACAAAAACTGCTTCCTAAATCTATGTTCATGTTACTGTCTAAGAGCCTGCAGTGACAACTCCTTGTCCATCGTATCCAATCCAAATGCTTCATGTTGGTTTTGCGCTCTCCATAACCTGGTCCCACTTAACCCAATCTTCCAGCCAGGCCAGTCTCCCCCCGCCCCTTACACTTTCATTAATTTCATTAATTGTTTACCCATGGCATTGTTCATATGAGGGATGCTCTTTGATTGTTCAAGGCCCATGTGACTTCCACCTCCAGAAAGCCCTGTAAGCCCATTAAGGCCTTCTCTATTTTCTGACTTCATTTTTATTTTATTCTTTAAACTATTAGTATCTGAACCACACATTCTGTCCCCTAATTATGTGCAATGTAGCAGTTAAAAATGCTTTTTCATTGTTTTCACTAATTATTTCATGCCAACTCCTCTGCCCTCAAAAGACAGAAAGTAAGCTCTCCCTAAGAGCCAGTGTCATCACGTACTTGTGTAACCACCATGACCTCTAGCACAATGCTGAATCATAGTAAGCACTTAATAAATACTTGCTGAATTTTAATTAATTTTCCAGCTGAAATACCTCTCATGTACCACCCACCCTCCCACCCCCCCTCCCCCGTTCCCTCTCATCTCCATGTACTTTCTCCTCTCTACCAGCCTTGGCATTCACCCAGCTTATAAGCACAGGGCTGATACCTTAGACATGAGAACTGTGGGCTAACCCCACTCCACCCCACCTCATTTGAAAGATGAGGAACCCGATGCCTGGAGCCAGGGAGGCAGCTTGCCTGAGATGAGAGCCAGTAAGAAGCCTAGCCAAGGCTATAACCCCAGCAGCCTAGCTCTGGGGCCTGGGGGGTTTTCTACAAAAAAAAAAAATCATAGACCTAAAACAGGATCAATCATGTATATATTTTGCCCATCCTATTATGATCAGCTTTAGGTGATACTAGATTGATATTTGCTTCAGAGCAAGCCAGTATGATAGAGCACTGGGCCTGGAGTCAGGAAGACTTAAGTTCAAATACAGCCTCAGACACAAACTAACTGGGTGACCCTGGGCAAGTTACTTAACCATTGTCTGCCTCAGTTTCCTTGACTGTAAAATGGGTATGATAATAGCACTTACATCACAGGGGTGTTGTGATCAAATGAGGTACTATATTTGCAAAGTGCTCAGGACAGTGCCTGACACATAGTAGGCACTATATAAATCCTTTTTTCCTTCTTTTCCCTTCATTTTTCTCTCTGTTTTATACCTCCTTCATTTTCCCCCAACCATCCTTGGGCACCAGACCTTTCAAACTCTGGTTAGAAAGTGAGGGAACAGGCTTAGAGCAACAGTGGCTGGGAATCCTGGTCATCTGGAGCTAAGAATGGACAAGCAGGTAAAAGAGAAGGGCAGGGGGCATGGACTTCAGGGAAAAGATCCAGGTGGTGGAGGGAGGGGAAGCTAGGACACAGCAGGATGAAGAACTGAGGTGCTAATCCATCCATAAGTGCCTACTGTGTGCCAGGCACTGTGCTAAGCACCAGAGATACAAAACCAGACAAAAGACAGTCCCTGCCCTCAAGGAGCTCACAGTCCAATGGGAGAGACAACACGTAAACAAATATACATATATATATATATATATATATGTGTGTGTGTGTGTATATATATATATATGTGTGTGTGTGTGTATATATATATATATGTGTATATATATATGTGTATATATATATATATATATGTGTGTGTGTGTATATACACACACACACACACACACACACACACACACACACACACACAAAGCAAGCTCTATGCAGGATAAATAGGAAAACATCAACAGAGGGGAAGCACTGGAATTAAGAAGGGTTGGTAAAGGCTTCTTGTAAAAGATGATTTCAGTCATAAATGCTTCTGCAGTCACCGTGGCAGTCTCATTCACTTGCAGGGCCCATCTTCCTCTCTTGTGGCTTTTTTCCCTTTCAGGACAAAAAGATATCTCACTTTATACAACACATACTCAGCATAGCACCTTGCTGCCGTGAGTGGGGGAAGATGGGTTGGAAATAGAAAGTGTTTCCGAAGAGGTTTGAATACAGGTGTTAGAATGGCAGATATAGAATAGGGGAAGTACATTTGGACCTTCCTTTTTACCTTTTGGATTTCAGCATCGGGGAGGTCAGTGATACTCTTCCATAAGTTCTTTTGTTATGCTGTCAAGGGCATGGAACAGTAGGCTGAGTTAGATAGTCATTCATTCCACAAACGTTTATTGAGAGCCTGCTTTGTTCAAACAACAAGCGTGTGTCCTAGAGGAATTACAAAGTTTAGAGAAGACAATAGCCCCTACTCTTGTAGAGCTTATGATGTAGTAGAGTCATAAGACATAAACATAGGTTATTCTCATACATAAAATTTCATCATACCTACTTTAAAGGGATATATCACAAAACGCTATGTCGAGTCCAAGGACATTACAGAAAGCTTCCAAGAGGAAACAGCAGGGCAGAGATCAGTCCAGATTATCTGGACTATAGAGCATGGGGACAGGAAAAATATGAGATAAAGCTGGCACCCTCACAGAGGGCCTGGAGCATCCTACACTGTGGACCAGGCCGTGACCCAGGTGGTAGTAGTTATGCTTTTAAGTGATGTGTCTCTAATTCTCGCTGTGCTGACATCCAGTTCCCTTTAGCTTCATCTGCATGTTCATTTGCTCTAGGTTTTGACTGCATTGAGAACCTGGAAGAGTATACAGGATTACGGTGTCTTTGGCTAGAATGTAATGGGATACAGAAAATTGAGAACCTGCAGGCACAGACAGAATTGCGTTGCCTCTACTTGCAATTAAATTTAATTCATAAAATTGAGAACCTCGAACCCTTGAAAAAACTGGATTCCCTCAACCTCAGTAATAACTATATCAAAACCATCGAGAACCTGTGTAAGAAGTGCCATGTGTTAAGTGTCAATTTCTCATCATGTCCATTACTTTCCTGCTTCCGAACCTTTTCTGTAATCTTCAGTGTTTACCCTTTAATCTGGCTGTAATTATCTTTCAGCTTGCCTACCAGTTCTGAACACACTGCAGATTGCCAACAATCACCTAGAGACCGTGGAAGACATTCAGCACCTCAAGGACTGCTCAAGTATTTGTGTTCTTGACCTTTCCAACAACAGGCTGAGTGACCCGGATATCCTCTGTGTCCTGGAAGCCATGCCTGATTTGGTAACAAAGCCTAGTCAATTAGCCTTCACCCATTCTATCCATCAGCCGATCAACAAGGATCTATTAAGCACCTCCCAAGTGCTAGGGACTCTCAGAGGTGCTGGGATGGAATGAAGTCTTTCCTCTTCTCAAAGGAGCTAAGAATCTATAACTGTAGCCTAATAACATTAAATTTTCTGCAGTTTTATGCATGTTCCCCATTTTAATAGATGAGGAAACTGAGGCAGACAGAGGTAAGTGATTTGCCCAAGGTCACCCAGCTAGTGAGTATCTGAGGTTGAATTTGAACTCAGGTCTTCCTGACTCCAAGCTCAGCTCTATATCCACTTTTACCATTAGATGCCTTAATCATCATTTAGTTATAGAACAGTTTGCATTATTCTTGAAAACCTCATGAATAAAATGTCAAACCATGGCTACACAGTCAAAGAAAGGGCCGTTCAGTTACCTGAAGAATTCTAATAAAAAAGCAATTCCTAAATTATCTGATAAAGGATTTGATAAGACATGACTTTTTTGTGCAGATATATCTCATAAATTCATAGCTTCTTAATGCATAGAACGCAGAACTATCTGAATCATATCAGTTTCATTGCCATTAATTTTATTGTGCTTCTTTGCTCGTAGCGTGTACTGAATTTGATGGGAAACACAGTGATTAAGAACATTCCGCACTACAGAAGAACTGTTACCGTTCGACTCAAGGTCTTGACCTACCTGGATGATAGGCCAGTGTTTCCAAAGGACAGGTAAAAGTGATGATGATGAATTTAATAGACAGCATTGCCTCTTCACCTCATAGTTCCCGTCATTTTCACAAACATCCCATTTGATCTTCCAAACACCCCTATGAAGAAAGGTATGAATACTTTATCCCATTTTACAGATGGGGAAACGGAGGTTCAGAGACATTGCTTAGTCGCTTGTAGTCACGTGGATTGTTAAGTGACTAGAAGTGGGACTCGAACCCAGTCTCAAGTGCTGTATTCACTGGGTAAATTTTAATCTTCGTGCTTTAATAACTTAGCTTTTTATTCGAAGAGTTTGAAATACAGAGCATTTTGAAGAAAGTTTTACTCCACATTTTCAAATACACACTCACTCAAACCAGCTTCACGAAGTAGATCTGCTTTAGAGACTAGTTTAGTGTGTTAAGACACGTTCGCACCATCTGTCACTGGGCCGGCATTCCCTGGCAGGGCCTCCAGAGCCCACCTCCGTAACGGCAGCCTGGGACTTTAAGGAAGATGTGAAGGCAGGTGGCTTTTTGAAAAGGAAAAATTAACCCGTAACCTGTTTTCTTTCCTGTACGCAAAGAATGGCTATAAATAGGTTCACTAGTTTTCCATTGAGAGAAAGCAACCTTTTGGTCGCCCAAATACTTGCTCTTATTTTCTTTTGAATTACAGATTTATGAATCTCACACACCTCACCCCGAAGTTTTTCTGAGGAATTCTGTGCTTTTCTCTTCTAAATAGAGCGTGTGCAGAAGCCTGGGCTAAGGGAGGGAGTGAAGCTGAGAAGGAAGAAAGGAGGAAGTGGGAAACCAAAGAAAGGAGGAAAATTGAGGAGAGCATTGATGCATTGGCCATGATTAGGCGAAGAGCAATGGAGAAAAAGAAACAGAAAGAAATGGAGGAAAAAGGTATTGTGGGTAGAGAAAGTGGCAGTCCCCAACAGGGCCCATTGGGCAGCTTGGCCCGGCAGCTCGCCCCGGACGACCTGGGTTCCCGTGGGTGTGAACATCTTGTGGCTGTGTGATCCTGGGCGTGTCACTTAATTATTCATTGCCTCGGACAGCTTGGGTAAATTGCTGGTGTGCATCAGCGGAGGAATTTGTACACTGAGAGCTCCCTAGACAGATGAAAGTACCCTCTTTCACTGGCTGATAACCTTAACCTAATATGCCTTGTCTTAAGGTAGCCTGTCTGTAATTGCCTCAACTCAGCTCATCTGTAGATTGGCAGACAGGACTTGGTCAGAAGTGGAGAAAAATTTGACTCAGACTTTGAAAAAGAGTTAATTTTTCAACATAACCCTTGTTGATCTAGAAAATAACTCATCATATAATTAAATAAATTGTATTAATTCATTTAAGTTCTTAAATTCATAATTTTATACTAATTTAAGTGCTTTTACCTCACTGAGTTTTTTAAATCAATTTTTAAAAATTATGATGATGATGATGATGATGACTATTTTGTCTTCTCCATTTACTCCCTTCTGTCGGATACTTTTTCCTGACGCAGAAGCAGCCCTGGGCTCTTGAAGGCTATGTCAGGAGCTGACAGGTTCTACTCAGTAAGGTGAAAGAGGTTAGGAGAAAATTCCTCAGATGGCCCTGACCACAAGCTGCCTGGTCCTGCTCCTTGGAGAGAGGGTCCTGGCCAGCTCAGTGTCAGGCCAATCTTGACATTGGCTGTGTCAGAGCAGCTTGTAATTAAGCATTAGGAGAAGTAGTCCCCACACCAACCACCAGCATTCAAGCTCACAGCTTCCTGACTCCACGTCCAACCGTCCTCTACCCACTGTCCCAGGCTGCTCTGACGATCCCTCGCAGTGACCCCTTCACACAGGCGCCTGCATTGGGAGTCAGTGACCTAGGACATTTGTGAGTCATGAATCATGGGTACTTATTATATATTACTTGGTGCTGTTATCAACACCTTCGAGGACGTGTACATCACCTCCCCAGTGAGGTCCTACGCTCCTAGAAGGCTCGGATGTGGGTCTACTTCAGTTTTATCCCTCTTGGTGCCGACTTCCATTTGGGTGTTGGGGTTCTGTGCACACCTTTGGGGCTGACAGACCCCAGCTCCCACTCGGAGCCAGCTAGTGAGTGCTCTGGCCTCCCTGAAGGACACTGCCCAGACCATTGGGCTGGGGTGGTAGAATAGTGGTCACCATCCCCATCATGGCTAGCACCTGTGCATCCCATTTAAAGATTTACAAAGTGCTTTACCAACATATTATCTCATTTGAGCCTTGGGGCAACCTTGGAAGGGAGGTGCTTTTGTGATCTGCGTTTTACAGATGAGGAAGCTGAAGCTGAGGCAAGCAGAGGTTGTGCCTTGCCCAGGGTCACACAGCTCATCAGTGTCCAAGGCCTGATTCCTGAGCTTCCATGTCCGATGCTCGCTCTACCCACTGCGCCTCCTCACAGCCCGTGGTGTGTAGGGAAGTGAAGGAAGTGGGTGTCGACTGCACATTTAGGAGGGCTCCCTGTCTTACAGCTGACGCCCCATCAGATCCCCCATCACTTCCTAACATTTGCCCAGACATAAGCCTGAAATGCTCCTCTTTTTCACTCTCTGACTTCATGTAGGAGAGATTCCACCACCAAACAACACGGTGAGCGCTGATCCAGGCACAGAGGGAGGTCCGCAGCCCCCTGCTGAGGAAGCCAGGAGGCAGAAGATAGAGAAGTTTGTCCAACAGAGTTTTGAGGCCCGGGATGAAGCCTTTCCTGAAGACTCCAGTGTGAAAAGTAAGGCACCTACTGAAGCTCGAGGAGAAGCCAGGAGAAGGGTTCAGACCCAGACTTTCCAGCAAAAGACACAAGACCAGACCCAGACCCCAGAGCTGCACAGGAAGGTAATTGCCAGCCAAGAGATAGCCCGAGCCCAGAGCAGAGCCAGGCCTTACCCCAGTGAGTGATTTAGAGAATGGAACATCTGCTGAGAGATGTCAACAATAAACAGATCAGACCCGAGAGTCAAGTGAAGTGTTCTTTAGTATCCAAGTTATCCTTAAATGTCTGGAAGGTGGGAATGTCCTGGTAGAATAAACACAGGTAGTCAAATGGTACAAAGTGAGCTTGCCCGGTTCTCCAGGTCTTTGTCATTGCCTTAAACTCGGGCTAATCCAGAGCTCTCCCTGAGCAACGTCTTGTTGGCCGTGACCTGGAGAGGTCCAGCCAGCTCCAGGTAATCCCCACCCCAGGCTGCACTCATCCCACCTCTTCCCTCCCTGTCCTCTTGGTCTTTTTAAGACTTCCCCTTCCTCACCCTGCCTGTCAGCCTCCATCTTGGAGGACCCATAGCTGTGCCTGCCACAGAGACCCCCCCCAGGCCAGCCCATGCCCTTCTGGCACTGAGGCCTGTTGAGAGGCAGCTTGGTAAATGCAGGATCAGGGGCTGGGGGGAGGGATGGCCTTCCAGCCATTGCAGCCTCACTTCTGTTCTTGATAACAGCCTTTCATAATCCCTCAGGTTCCAAGGGGGCTGCTTATATTTGTTAGGTTGGTAACATTTTAAATTGGTGGTTTCCTAGGGCCCGACAAGGAGGAGCCATTGTCTCAGTACCAGGTCTCCAAATGACCCTGTATACACTAATACCATCCAAAGGACATGGATTCTTATTAGCATCTGTCCTGGAGGGGCCCTTTCCTTTTTTAAAGATGCTTTATTAGGAGATTAACGTTGATCATCAATACAACCAACTGAACATGCTTAGTGATTTTGACATTTCAGTTCATTCACCACACCAAGCGGCAGGGTAATTCTTGAGTCACTTCAGGCCCTCATCCAGATTCTTTGTTCATCCATACTTACAGCTCCTTCTGTGGGGTCATATAGTGCAGATGTGTCTTACTCTTCTACTCTTGAATTTTTCTCTTTGCCTTATTTTGTACAGCTTTTCCCAGGTTTCTTTTTATGGTGGGGGTGGCCCTTTCTAACCTCAGTGTCTTGTCCTTGTCCACAGTCCCTTCATCCTAGATCTTGGGACTATTTTCCTTTGTCCATCTTACTCTTAGACCTGTTTTCCTCTGTTTAACAACTAGAAAACAGCCTACAAAATTAATTCCAGGATATATGCAATGTTTACTGTTCCTTAGAATCAACATTAAAAGCTCTGACTACAGAAAAGGCAGAAGTGGATGGAGCTGAGGAGTTAGAAACCTTTGAATTGGAGGCAAATGACAAGCTCTTCATTGATGTATGTAATGGTTGCCATGGTGATTAATATTTGTTTTATAATTAGTAGGCTATCTAGTCAAATATGGCTCAGCTCCCAAGTCAGTCTTTCCGTAACACAGCCAACTACTATGTCACTTCATCAGAGGGCACTGGTTGGTGCATTATGGAAAACACAAGACTGAAAATCAGAGGACTGGGTTCTATTCTCAACTCTACCACTAACATGTCATAGGAATTTGGGCTAGTAACTTAACCTTTCTCAGTTTCCATTTTCTCCTTTTTAAAATATAGGGTTGGACTGGATCTCGAGGTCCCCTTCCATCTCTAATATTCTGTGAATATTCAACATTTTTATTTAAAATATCCAGATAGTAGAGGATGGAAGGTAGCGAGGCCATTATTAGTAATCACCCCACTTTTCTACTTCAATTTGCATGGTGGGAATAACCTTGGGAATGTGTTTCTCTGACAAAATTCTTGGGACATTTTTGCCCCACCCCACTCCCTTCCCTGGTGACATTTTGTAATTTAATTCTTCAGGATCTGCCTGATTTAGAAGATATAGAAGTTAATGAGACCTTTCCAGAAAATTCAGATGAAAACGTAAGTGTCATCAATGATATGAGTTTATTTTCCCTTTACATATTTGGTTTAATACCATAATTCTGAGCCATATTTTAATACTTGAGTCTACAAAGTAAAACTTTATAACACAAATGCAGCACAATGAATTCTTTAACATTTTCTTAACTGTGTAACATTTTCTTCATCAATGCATGCCATGTGAATCATTTATTGATCGATGTAAAATAGGAAATTATTTAGTCACTTATAGTTGATATAGTATATTTTCAAATTAACCACTTAACTGAAAGCTGAGAGAAAAGGTGGTGAGCTGAACTTTGGAGTCAGGAGTTTGGAATCCTGACTTTTATGACACCGAGTGGCCTTGGGCCAGTCATTTCAGAGATGAATGAATGAATGAATGAATGAATGAATGAATGAATGAATGAATGAATGAATGAATGAATCGGTAGCATGTTTTCATTTGGGCAGTGCTTTGCTAAGTTTGAGGTATGCAGAGAAAAGTCAGCCAGCCCCTGGTCTCCAGGAACTCTCATTCTAATGCAGGAGACAAGTCAGCTAGGAGGTTCCTGCTGTAAGTTGGATAGAAAGGTCCCGTAGTCCTTAGGATGCAGCAGCAAAGCAGGTGCCAAAAGCGCCTTGGGCGACGGCTTTCCTTTCTGCACCTTCGGGAGCTGTGGCCAGCCTGCGTTGCCAGGGGGATCGCCTCCTGGGATCATGACTGTGGACAGACACGGGGCTGGGAGCATTGCTGCTCCCAAGCCTTCCGGCTGAGTCCTGGGCCGTGTCTTCCTCGGGGTCAGAGGGGAGATGGTGGTCAGGATGTCATGGGGAGGGCCTGACTGGCCTCGTTGCTGCGGCTCAGTTGCCTTGCCCGCCCTGTGAGCGGCACTTGGGTGGCAGATAGTGGGATGGCTGGCCCCTTCCTTACAGCAGCCACCTCGTGTCTTTGAGCTTCACTTTAGGAATAATAACAGGTGTCCTGTCTATCTCTTACGCTTGTAAGGAAAGAGCTATCGTTATGATAATGCAGACACCTCGTGTAATTTTACAATCTATTTTGAAGTAACATCATTAATGCATTGTACCCAACTCCACTGCAATATCATTTGGCTCGTCACTCACTTAGAATACTGTTCCCGTGGAACTGGCTGCCCCCTGTAGTATTGTTTCACCTGATGTGTTTTTGCAGAACTGATTAAAGATATGCCAAGATATGTCTGTTTACTATGTCTCTGTAATATGTGTGTAGCAGTCCTTTATATGTGTATAAGACCACGTGTGTAGAGAGAGTAAAGAGAGAAAGAGATATGAGACATGTGTGATGTGATGAAGATTAGTCAAAACTATTGGTCCACTATGCCATCAGAGACTTTTTGCACCCATATACATAACTTGTAAAGGAAGTATAAACAATCCCCTTGCATTTATTAAGTATCTACTTTGGGTCAAGCGCTAGGTTTTGGGAGGACATGAGAGACTTCATGTAGGAGGTGATGCTCGAATTCATCTTTGAAGGAAACTGGGATTTCTAAGAGATAGGGATGAAAATAGCGTGCATTCCAGGCCCAGGGCTGTACAAAGGGGTGGAGAGGCAGGAGGGGGCAGGACCAGAACAGGAGAGCCACTGGAGTGTGGTAGGTGACAGGAGGTGAGCAATGGGGCTGTGGAAGGCTTTATGTGTCAGCAGTGGATGGGGATGTGACTGCCACCCCGGAGCAAGTGGAGGGGGGCTCCTGGGCCACGCTTTCAGGCCTCGTTCCATCAGCAGATAACACACGCCTCCTCTCTTGTGGTAGTGTCAAGGTAGTGCTACAGTGATAGGTTTTCAAATTGTATATCTTGTTTTTCCTTTTACTAGAAAGCTTCTTTTCCAAAAATTGAAATAATTTCTGGAGCAAGTGATGACAGTGATCCCGAACTGGAGGAAGGCTGCGCAATGCAGGAGAAAATGTCCGCAGATACACTTTCTAATATATTTAAAATTTCTAAAGATACCTCAAAGAAAGCCATCACGCCCCTTACAGAAATACTGGAAGCAGAATCAAACAGGGACTTTGAGACCAAAAATGACCACACAAAGCTGTCAGAACCATTGATTCAGGAGATCAGTAAAAATCCACTAGAGGAGTCACTGGTGTCCCCAGCCTGCAGTGAAGAAAACCAGCAAACTCTTTCCGGCGTAGACCAGAATGATGCTCGGGCTTCACTCTCTTTGCCAGGTAATGTGGCTCTTCCTAGGTATATAAGAGGTTTGTTTTTTCACTGAAAACATACTGGTATAACTTTGAAAACAGTCTCTGAGGGAAGAATCTGGCCATGCTTAGGGGATTTAAAGCTGGAAGAGGTGGGAGCTGAGAGGTCATTTGGTCAGACACCTTCAGTTTATAGAGTGAAGAAGGTAAGGCCGCCAAAGACCCATTGTCCCATAGAGCTGGGCCCAGGCTGCCTGTTACTAATCACAAATGGCTGTCGTGCTGTCCTCTATGTGGTACCTGTAATATTTAATTTAAAATGGCAGATTCTCAGCTGTGAGGTAGAAATCAATGCCCTAATATAATCTAGAGTTTGTTTCATTATGGAATCCTTCTATGCTTCCTATCCAAAAGACAGCTCTTAGTCTGCCATGTTTAAATCTTTATGAAACCCAGTTTAACTCTGTGAGGTAAAATTTAATCCAGCTTTGACATTTCTGTCACTAGATTAGGATTGGGAGTATAAAACTAATACTGTGGACCCTGTTACCCTTGGGTGGTACTTTGATATCTAGTAATAATACTAGGTTACTTAGACTTATCTAGTAATGCTTTAAGGATTCCCTCCTGCTTCCTTCACAGTAACGCCTATGAGATAGATAGTATGTTATTTCCCCCATTTTACAGATGAAGTTACTGGGACTCAAACTGAATAACTTTCCCAGGATCACACAGATAGTGAGTGCCAGCACAAGGCCTCAAACATCTGTCTCCCATGCTAGGTCCCATAGTCTTACCTCTGACCAAGACAGATCGCGTCTACCAGGTGAACGACGTTACTCAAATCCTGGCTTTCCCCTTTGCTGTGCCATTTTGGTGTGGCATCCCTTACTCTGGACCATATGATAATTCCAATTAGAATAGCCATAACACCTCATCCAAAAAGCCTTCCTTTGAGAAGCTGAGCAAGATTACGTCCATTACAGAGCTCTGGTTACAGAGAATATATTACTCCTAGAGGAGCTGGTTCTCTGGGTATAGTAAAACAAAATTCTACTAAAGAACAAAACAAAACTTTTTTAAATCACATACTTAATAAAGAAATAACATGAAATTTTAGTAATCAAATTCAAATTTTTAATAATCATTCACAACAAGTGAAAACATTGAAGATGAAAACATAATACAGTCTAATGGCAGAAATTCTGGTAGTGTTGTCATCTGCCTCACACATCGGTCACATCATAGAAGGAAAAATTGACCTAATAACTTCAGTGATTCTTCACTAACTTCAAATAACTTGAACTTTTTACACTAGTTCTATCCCATGGACTGTCATTCCTACACTCGGAATGATTCTCTTGTTGATGACAAACACATGGACAATCTGTTAAAGTTTTCTTGAATTGGGAAGGATAACAACAGATAAAGCTAAGAACCAAAAATTCATTCAATCCTTGCTGAACGATTCTGATAAATGAGTAAATGATTCCTGTTTGACTTCCACTCTATTTTTTAAATTATGGGCATGCTCATTAATACTGTTAGCGCATCAATATGGCTTCTGTTGAAACTGGCAAAGTGTTGAATATCACTGGACCCTATGAATAGGATGTTGCCTTAGCATGTTATAGGGGCTAACCAACATGGTTAGATGGATTAAATAGCCAGCATGGGATATTTCCAAAGAATAAATCTGTGACTTCATAAATTACTGAAGTTCAGAATTATATTAAACAATTTTCTGTTAAACAGTGAATATGTGTATAAAGATGCCATGAATATCATTGAATCATGAAGTTTCTGTGTATATTAACTTCTCTTTTAACAGAATAAACAGGTTTCAGTAACTATGTCTGAAATATTTTTCAGAAATAAGACTGATATTTTATATTATGTTTCAACAGGAAGTGATACTTCAAAAAATAAGGTGCAGTTTTTGACAGAGACTGAAAATTTCATTGTGCATGGGATCAAGGAAGGCAACGAAGACATTGAATTTGGATTAGATTAAATATCAAAGATAGACAGTGTGGGACAGTTAGCATTTATTTTCCCACAGGTGTATGTGCACACCAGTTTTAAGGTGTGCTGATTATTTGGCATTGCCCCACCATCCAGAGAGTACTATTTCCAGATCAGTAGCGTGAGGGTGGGGAAAAAAGATGCAGCAGTCTTGTTGTTAAGGGAGAGCACCAGGCTTGTCCTCTGACAAGTACCTATAGGTGATAGCTAAAGTTGAATCGATCTGTCTGTTTAGAATGTTGACTTATTCTTTTAGTTTTTGTAGAGTATGTGAAACAGTATGCCCCAAATTCATAGTGTGTGATTTTATTTTTTTCTGTTTAACTTTGGTTTACCATATTATTTAACTATATGTTTTCCTTTGGAACTTTATAAAAATTTCAACATCAATTTTGAGAATCTGTGTTTATTTTCATGTGTACTTCTATCCTTGAAACATACACTGAAGGCATATTTATCCTAACATTTGCTTATAAATTTGGAACAAATTATTATCTTATTATAAACTTAACACTTCTTTAACAGTACAAAACAGTATGTTCAGTTCCATTCAACAAATATTTATTAAGCCCCTTCTGTGTGCAAGATACTATGAGTAAGTCCCCCAAACCATAAAATCTGAACTATTTATCTTTTTGATAAAAATAAAAAAAGAAGAAAAATTGGTAACAGAATGTAAACTTTAACAAAATGTTATAAATAACATTCTCTTCATTGTCTGAACATGTATGAAATATGTTTGGTTTGTGTTTTTTTTTTAATTTAGTTGAACAAAATGGGTATGTTTTAATTGAGCTAACTTTATTTTGTCTCATTTTACATAAAATTTCCATATTTCTTTGTACTCTTCATATTTGTCATTTTAAATGGCACAATAGTATTCTATACTGATATGTCACAATTTATTTAGTTATATCCTAATCATGGACCCAATAATTCAATTTTTTGGTATTACAAACAAAGCAGCCATGAATGTTTTTATAAAGTTAGATCTTTATTTTTATTTTATTTGTTTTTTACTTTTTTTTATAACATCCATTCCCTTGGTGTATGCTCAGTTTTGTAACTATTATTGCACATTGCCAAGTCGTATCGGTATATTATCCCATCCATGATTTATGTGCCTGTTTTCTCATAGCCCTGCTGACATTGAATTCTGTTGCTTTCTAAACTATTTTTACCAATTTTGTGAGTGTAAAACAACATTACAAGTAGTTTTGACTTACATTTCTGTGATTATTAGAGAGCTTGAATAATTTTTCAGGAATTTATATGAACATTAAGTGGTTACTGTGTACAAGGTGCTGGGAATACAAAGACAAAATAAAAACATTTCCTTTCCTCAGGGAGTTTATATTCTACTCTAGTGAGGGAAGTAGAATATTTACTGTGATAAGAGCTATTTCAGGAGGAAGGAAGTGCTAACAGCCTAGAGATGTAGGAAAAGCTTCCTGTAGGGGGTGTGCCTGACTCAAGCCTTGAAGGAAGCTAAAGATTTCAAGTTGAGGTCAGACCTCTTAACTATCCCCAAACCTCATTGGCTCTTGTGAAAGTTACCCATGGGGCAACAAAGGTGAAGGCCAGCATATGCCAACTTAGGAGATCCTGAGGCCTCCCCACACTCCAGCATGTGAATGCAACCCCCTAATTTGACAGAAGGGCCCGGGGTCTATAGAGGGTAAAGGTCACAGGCACATGTCATGCAAGTGACATCCCTCCCTTGAGCTGAAGTCCTCTGACCCTAAACCTAATATTTCCATTTTCTCTTATGCTGATCTTCACTGCCCACCCCCTCCCCCCAATCCCAAGGCAAGGCATCTTTGCTCAGGTGCACAGTCATAGAACATAGGATCCGCCCAGGGTCACACAAGAAGTCGTCACTGGTAGGATTCAAATCCAGGTCTTCTGAAACCAAGACCAGCACTCACTCTACTACACTGCTATGCTCTGCTCTGCTCACCATGCCCCAGACCTGGTTTGGCCACTTCCTGTGACATCTTGGGCGATTCATTTAAAGCCTCTGGCCAGTTCCCTCATCTGTAAAATAAGGGGGTTAGACTAGGTATCATTTAAAGCCTCTGGCCTCAGTTCCCTCATCTGTAAAATAAGGGGGTTAGACTAGATATCTAAGGCCCCTTCTGGCTCTAAGTCTATAAATTTGGTTCTTACAGGTAGCTAGGTTGTGACTTCTCCCAACCCACTGGTAAATTGGATCCTCAGATGGTGGCTACATCTGAGGGTTCTAGGCTGGGTGGTCTTTCTAATACTGTTAGCTCAAGCCCTCATTCTCATGTTCTCTCCAATATTAATCATCAGTGATTGCTGTCCCAGTGTCATTTAGCCAGTTTATTAATGCCCCACCATCAATTTAGCCAGGTATCTCCATTGATTACCAGGAGGCAATTAACAAGTTTTACAAAGGGATATTTACTGAGAAGATGGAACAAGAACAGAAGTCAATCAGTAAAATAAGTCTTAAGCTCCTATTTGCCAAGCACTGTGATAAGGCACAAAGCTGTTCTGTTCTCAAGGAGTGCACAGTCCAGCAGGGAAGAGGTGAAAACCAATAGATACAAACAAGCACGCTGGGGCACACACACACCACACACATACAGGATAAACTGGAGACGATTAACAGAAGGAAGGCGGGTTTCCAGGGAAAGACTGGGATGTTAGCTTGAAGTACCAGGGAAGACAGGAGGCAGAGAGGAGACTGGAGAGAATCCCAGACGTGGGGGATGGCCCAGACCTGGGAGATGGGGTATTGTGTAAGAAAAAAGGAATCCAGCATCATTGGATCAGAGTATGTGGGGGGGAGGGGCATTAAGTAAGGTATAAGAAAGCTGGCAAGGCTGGGGAGCAGGTTATGAAGGGCTTTGAACACCAAACAGGACTTTCTATGTGATCTTGGAGGTGGTAGGGAGCCATTGAATCTTCTTGTTTAGGGGAGTGACAGAGAGATCTGCTTTAGGAAGGTCAATCTGACCGCTGAATGTAGGCTGGACTAGAAGGGGGAGAAATTTGAGGCAGGGAGTCTAACCAGCATGCTCTTGCAATAATCCCAGGTATCAGGTGATGAGGGCTTGGCCCAAGGTGATGGCAGTGTCCGAGGAGAGAAGGGCACATAAATGAGAAAAGGTATGAAGGTAAAATCAACAGGAATTGGCCACATTGGATATGGGGCATGAGAAAGAGGGAGGAGTTGAGGATGACACCAATCTGTGAGCCTGGGTGTCCGGGAGGATGGTGGTGCCCTCAACAGTAACTGGGAAATTCGGAGAGGCAAGGGTTTTTTTGAGCAGGGGCGGGGGGAAGATGTTTTGGACGTGTTAGGTTTAAGATAACTACCGGACATTCAGCTAGAGATGGCTAATAGGCAATTGGAGATGTAAGAGGTTAGGAGAGAAGTTAGGGCTACTGCTGGTGAGTTGTGAATTTATTCAACCGTTCTATAGACTAGTAATTTGGAACTATGCCCAAAGGGCTATAAAACCATGCATACCGTTTGACCTAGCAATACCACTACTAGGTCTGTATACCAAAAGAGATTAAAAACCAAAAAGGAAAAGGATATATATGTACCAAAATAGAGCAGCTTTTTTTTCTGAGGGTAAAGAATTAAAAGTTGAGGGGAAGCTCATCAGCTGGGGAATGGCTGAACAAAGCTGTGGCGTGTGATTATGATGGAATACTGTTTTACTATAAGAAATGATGAGCAGGATACACTCAGGAAAAAAAACCTGGAAAGATTTCCGTGGGCTGATGCAAAGTGAAATGGACTGGGTTCAAAGTAACAGCCATGTTGTAAGATGATCAGCTGTAAATGACTTATCTATTCTCAGCAATACAGTGATCCAAGACAACTCCGAAGGACTTATGATGAAAAATACTATCCATCCCCAGAGAAAGAACTGATGGAGTCTGAATATAAAATCAAGCATTTTTTTTAACTTTATTTTCCTTGAGTTTCTTTTTTTTCTGTGTTTTCTTTAACAATGTGACTATTAGGGATGTGTTTGCATAACTATACATGTATAACCTACATCAAATTACTTGCCTTCTCAATTAAGGTGGAGAGGAGGAAGGGAGATTATTTGGAACTCAAAGTTTTAAAAATGAATGCTAAAAATTGTTTTTACATGTAACTGGGGGAAAATCAAATACAAAATAAAAGCTAAAAGATAAGTTAGGGCTGGATAAGTAGATTTGAGTATCAGCATAGAGATTATAATTGAATCCATGGGAGCTTTTGAGATCACCAAGTGTAGTATGGAGGGAGAAGAGAAAGACAGAGCCTGGAGGGACCCTCCCTGTTAGCAGGTGTTAACAGGTTAAGTGACTTGCCTAAGAAGTAAGAAGAAAAGGAAGTGAAAGCATCAATTGTAGACTGCCTTCTCATGTAATTTAGAAGGAAGAGAGGTATGGGACGGTAGAAAGTGGAGACAGATGTCCCAGCAATACAAGGATCTAAGACATCTCCAGAGGCCTCATGATGGAAAATGCTATCCACATCCAAAGAAAGAGCTAAGAAAGTTGAATTGCTATTTTTTTCTCTTCTGTTGAGTTTTGTTTCTTCTTTCTGATGGTTCCTATTGGTTTTAATTTTTACTTACAACACCACTAACGTGAAAATATATTTAATAGGAATGTAAATGTATAGCCTATATCAGATTGTGCACTGTCTTGGGGAGGTTGGTGGGGAGGAAGGGGGAGAAAAATTTTAAACTCAAAAGCATGTGGAAGTGATTATTGATAAATCAAAATAAATTAATAAAATTTTTAAAAAGTGGAGACAGATGGATCAAGTGAGATTTTTTGGGGGATGTGGGAGACATGGACACGTTTGTAGGCAATAGGGAAGGAGCCAGTAGATGTGAGGGAATGGTATTGACAGAGGAAAGAATCTGTTGCAGAAGATGAGATGGAATGGGATCACTTGGGCATATAGAGGGCTTACCTTGGCAAAAGGAGAAAGGGCCACTTCTTCATGTGAGTCAGAGGTGAAGGAGGAGATGGTGGTAGAGGGCATCTGGGGGATATGAGGGAGGGAAGGAAGAAGAGAGAGCTTTCAGAAAATGGCCCCAATTTTTTCAGTTGTAATATGAGGATATAAACCTCTCAGCTGAGAGAGGTTTAGGGGGAGAGAGAGAGCTATGGAAGGTTTAAGGAGAGATGAAAAGGCCTAGAAAAGCCACTGTGTTGAGTGGCATAGTGGCTTAATTAGAGAGTTGTAAAAGAACTGCCTTGCAGCAGCAAGGGCCCAGTTGAGATTATGTAACATAAATTTGTAGTTGATCCAGAAGTACAAACGTATCTTCTAAGCTGGGTCACATTCTCCTCTCTACCACTTAGTGAGAGTGAGCTCAAATTTAAAGTGCTCGCTATTCATCCATCCCACCAAGTTTCACTTCTGAAGGCAAACTATTTATAGCCTGATTGAAGAAGGTTGCCACATTGGCCATGACTGCCATCACATTTATATGGACTCCATTTCTTGGACTTTTGGTTACTCCTCTGACCTTTCCAAGCTCACAAGATCAGTCTGTTCCATCTCCTACACTTATTCACCTAAAAGCAGGAAAGAGTGAAGCTTCACAGTAACAGAAAACCAACAATCCATCCATTCATGGCCGCGCCTCAGGTTTGGAGGGGAGATAATGGTGTATGGCCTCTCTCCACTCAGAGGCTTAGGAGTCCGTCTTTACTTGATCACTACCAGGAAAGAGATAGACTCTATACGGCCAGTTGGTGCATCCAAAAGGCCATCTTAGCAGTTCCAGTTTCAATCAAAAGCCCCTTTTCCTCCTTTTTCCTACAGCATGCAGTGAGCAGACAGCCCACGGTTATAAAACATCTGCGTGTGTTTGGAATTGGGGCATTCCAGATCATCACATACTTTCACAAACAGGTTCCCCAAGCACCTGTGTGGGTTGCCAGCAGGCAGAGACCCCTCTAGATAGTCTCTGACCTGGGCCTTTGTTGCCCAGTCCTCCTGTTACATGAAAGACATCAACAGAAGACAACCAAGTTAAGTGACACAATCAGAGCATAATCCACTCAGTGGTTCAACAAGCATTTACTAAATGCATACTATGCTCCGGGATGTGCTACGAGCTATGGACACAATGACAAGGAGCTAAATAGTCCTTGCCTACAAGGACGTTTAGCACCAGAAAGACCAGATGGGTCGATGGATGCACAAACACAAATTAGAATTTGACTCTGAAATAAAAATTTTTATCCTTTACTTTCTTTACTTTTTGGATTAAAAAAAAATGCACTGTGTCAATTGGTGTCATTGGTCCTTCAAGATATTGTTAAATTCCAGTCCATGATTCTATAAAAATAATAAAAGGAATAGTAAAGTTCAGGGTGAGATGAGGCTGTTGAGGAAAGATGGCTCAGACAATAAAAAGAGGTTTGTTGGCTTCTTTTGTTTTTAAGCTATATTATGGAAAAGATTAAAGAAGGCCAGGATCACTGCTTAGGATGGGTGGGATGATGGTTATATAACAGAAAAGATGAAGATTCTCAACTTTCACTTTGCTTGTTTTCTCTAACAAGGAAAATGAACTTTGGACTAGAAAAGTCAGAACAAAACCAGTGAACAGGGAGCTAGTACCAAGGATAAGAGGAAGACAAAGAGCACTTAACAATCTTTGATCCAAGTTCAAAGTACCAGACACAGATGAACTTGCTCCCAGGGTACTGAAAAACCAGTAGATGCCATAGCCAAGTCATTTTCAATGATCTTTGAAAGAAACTTTGAAAGAGACTAGAATTCTCGTCTTGATACACCAAGGACTGAAAGTGAAACATGCTATTTACCTCTCTCTAGAGAGGTGATGGCCTTAAAATACAGAGCAGAAATGGTCAATTGAGGAATTTGTTTTGCTGGACTATTCATGCCTATGATGAAGGTTCTGGGTTTCATTTTTGTTGTTGTTCAGTGGGGGTGGGGGGAGTAGTTGGAGGGTCAGATTATAAATGCATGTAAAAATAAACTTATTTTTAAGAGAAAAAGAGATTATGTCAAATGAAAAAGACACTGCAGAATCGGAAAAGACCAAATGTCCCAATTTTCAAAAAAAGAAAGTGAAATCTGCAAACTAAAGGTCAGTGAATTCAACCTGGGGCTCCTGGCAAAGTTCTAGAAGACAAAATTAAAGGGACAATCAGTAGATATTTACCTACATAAGGGTGCTGGGATCACAAAGAGCTAGCAGGAACTTTTGGAGACACATCATAATATATTAATTTCCTTTTTGATAGGGTTTCTGGACTGGTAGAGCAGGAGTATGCTGTAGAAAAATAGTTGACTTAGCAAAGCCTTTGACAAAGTCTCTCCTGATAATCTTGTGGCAGAGGAGAGATATGGTGTAGATGGTAGTAATTAGGTGAGTTCAAAACTAGTTGAACGGCCAGACTCAGTAATTACTGGTTTTGTGTCAACTTAGAAAGAGGTCTCTAGTGGAGTGTTTCAGTGATCTGATTGCTATTTCATGTAAATTTTTACATATTTCTATCTATTTACATAAATTTCATATAAAATTTCATATGCATTTTTACATATTTCTACCTATTTACATAAATTTCATATAAAATTTCATATAAATTTTACATATTTCTACCTATTTACATAAACTGCTGGCATAGATGCCACTTATCAAATTTTTTTTAACATTGAATATAGAATGACAGCTGACTCTTTCCCATCCACATCCAATCATTTGCCAAATTTAGTTACTCCCACATCCCTTGCATCTAGCCTCATCTCCCCACTCACCCAACGTCTAGGTCAGATCTTGACCACTCTCCACTGAGCCACTGTAATAGCCTCAGGATTGCTCTTTCAGCTTCAATCTCCTCTGCTCTCCGAACTGTCACCTATATCAGAGATGTCAAATGGGCAGTCACATGTAGCCCACAATGGTCCAGAGTGCAGCTAAAACCAGATTAAAATATAGTGCCTATGTGACTGATGTATCAAGAAAAAAAAAAAAAAAATATATATATATATATATATATATATAAATGTGTGGTTTTCTAAGTCAATATGCAACCCACAGGGATTCCTACGTATGGTTTCGTGGCCTCTGCTTTTGTTTGAGTTTGATACCACTAGTTGACATGACTGCCATACTGATACTTCTAGAACATAAATCTCACCATTTTGCTCTCCTATTCAAAAAATCTTCAATGGCTCTCTACTGTCTACTGTCTAAAATTCCAAGTTTCCTTCAAAGCACAGCTTAGCTCCTACCTGAGGCCCTTCCTGATCACCTTGTTAATTGTACTTTCTTCTTGAAATTACATTTTATATATTTTTGGGGCAGCGAGGTGTGGTGCAGTGAACAGAGTACCAGCCCTGGCGTCAGGAGGACCTGAGTTTAAATACAGCCTCAGATTTGCTAGCTGCATAACCCTGGGCAAGTCACTTAACTGCAATTGCCTCCAAAATAAAAATAAAAAGAAATTACATTGTATATGTTTTGTATTTATGTGTCTCAATTCCAGCTTCCAGAATAATATAAAGTCCTTTGGGGAGGCCCTTTTCCCTTTTGTCCTCGTATACCACAGGTTTTATCCATCATGCAAAGGAGGACAATTAGAAGAGTGAAGAACCTTGAGGTATACCATATGAGGAGAAACTGGGGATGTTTGGCCTGGAAAAGACTTTTTTTTTGGGGGGGGAGGGAAGGAGGAAGACAGAAGTAGGGAGATAACCAGTCTGTGTCCAATCAGACTTTCTCTGCTTGGTCCCAGAGGGCAGATCTAGGAGCAGCATGGGTTAGATGCAGGAAAATCTTCCTAATGACAAGTTATCCATAAGCAGATTGGGATGCCTTGGGAGACAATTTCGCTAGGGGTCTCCAAGCGAAGGCTGGGTAAGCACTTCTCACGTCCGTAGCAGACTGCATGGCCTCTGAGATGCTAATTTATAGATTCCATAATTATGCTTCACAGAGTTGGACTTAAAAGGATCCATAGGAATTCAATGTGCAAAGATTGACGATGATTCAACAATGGTCTCTTCACACTCCTTGACTGGTTTTCCATTGGAGAATGAATATCGCCATAAATTTCAATCAGGTACTTTTGAGATTCTGGATATCAAGATTCAGAAGAGGTAGTATGGCACAGTAGAATCAGCACTAGATTTGGAAATGGCTTCATATCTCACTCCCATCATCTACTACCTCTGTGACCTTGGGCAAGTCACTTAACTTCCATGGGCCTCAGTTTCCTCATCTGTAAAATGAGGTAGTTGTACTAAATGACTTCTCAGGTCTCCTGCTCAAAATCTGTGACATTTAATAGTTATTTTTCTCAGTCTCTTTTCTTTTTTTCTTTGGAAGCATTGCTTTTCCTATCATAAAATTATTTTGTTTTTTATAATTACCCATTTTGCCTATGTGGTGAGAGTTAACTGTCCTGTAGGTGCCTGTGCAAATTTTTCCCTGACTGGTTCCAGTCCATTGGGATGGCAGAGCTACATGCCCCTCCCTCAAAACTCTGTGACCACCTCCTTCATTGCTTGCCTCTCATCTGGACCACCCACGATAAGAAAGGAGAGGGACAGAGGAACAATCTCATTTGATGCTCACAGCCCCCCTGGAATGGAGGTGCTATGATTATCCCGCCCACTTTTCTCCAACTCCCCTCCTTAAATCCAGGATGGAGCTAAGGACACCACCTCCTCATGGCCATTGTTACTCAGCTCTGGCACTGTCTCTTTATTTCCTTATTATTTTTTTTCTTCCAATTTTGTGACTGATAAAATTATAGAATACATCCAACTAGAATTTATCATAATGTATGGCATAAAGCATGGCTATAAACTAATTTCTTGCCATATTGGTATCCAATTTTCTTGACTATTTTTATTGAATAATGATTCCTCTCCTTTTAGAGGTTTTATTTCTTTAAAGAAGATTGAATAGTTGTTCCTTGATTAGGTTGAAGAATCACCCACTATTGCTATAGAAAGAAAAATCTGAGAATGTTGAGCATTAGAAGCCAGAAGCTACTGAATCAAACCCGTCACAGTGCTAGGCACTGGGGGGATACAAAGACAAAAGTGAAAAAGTCCCTACCCGCAAGGAGCTTACATTGTATTGAGGGAGAGATTTATAACCAATATGTGTATAACCAATTATTATTAATTAGCTCTTATAAAGGTATATTTACTGAGATGTATTAAGAATAGAAATTACAAAACATTTCCCTCCAACATCTAGGGTCACACTCTCTCCTATATCACCTCCATCCTTCAGGCAAGTAGGTTCAGCAAAGCTCTTGCTACAAGTGGAGATAATAAGAGCACCCACCTCCTAGGACTGGTGAAGATCAAATGAGACACATGTATAGCACGTCATGCACCATAAAGCATTAAATAAATGCTTTTGTCATTCAGTCGTGTTTGACTCTAGGTGGCCCCATGGACGTTGTCCATGGGGAGTTCTTGGAAAAACCACTGGAGTGGTTTGTCATTTCATTCTCCTATGTGTCCTGTTTATAGATGAGGAACAAAAATGGATTAGCTGACTTGCCCAAGGTCACACAGGAGCAAGTATCTGAGGCTGGATCTGAACTCAGATCTATTACAATAATATAATAAATATATAATAATATAATATATTACATAATAATATAATAAATGCTAGCTATCATTAACATTATTAAGCTCATTTCTGAATAAAGGATGAGTCCATCAGCAGAGCACAAGTTTGGAAGATCTACAACTCCTTTGTTCAGGTAAAGAAACGTAATCTAAAATAAAACATTTTGACTTGCTCAAAGACAGAGCAAGGTAATGGTAGTTGGCTGTTATCTTATTCTTGCCTGCATTGAAGCTCATTTGTTACTTCTCAGTTTACACACAGAGCATCTCAAGTTCTTTCTGTAGTTTTCCACATGGGTTTGGCATTTCACTAGCTAGAATGTTTTCTACTAGCTTTGAGATTTTGATGGGGCCTCTCCCTACCAAAACATTTACTTCAATTCACATTATCATAGTTGTATCCATGTATTGCTGGGTTTCCCTTTTAAGTTTTATCAGTTCCTTTGGCTTTTTCCATCTTATTTCCCACTATTCTTCCCTGAAATTCCCCCCTCCCATTACTTTTTCTCTTGGAGGAGCGGGCAGCTGCCTGTTCAAGTTGCCTGGATTAGGTCAGTGTTTGATTCCAGCTCTCAGGCCCTCTCCCCTATTCCCACTCTGGGCTCTCACATGCCCCTTTCCCCTCTCCCTGACAGGGGAACGACAACAGAAAAACCACATCAGCAAAACCAAACAACACAGCATGTAAGCGATATTCCAGGCCCACAGTCCCCAACCTCTCAATCGAGATGATGGTACAGTCTGTCCAAGGTTGGCTGTTGGACTTCATCAAAGTTGCGCCTTTTTGAGCTGACTGGAATTGCATTAAATCTGTAATCTAAGTAGAATTTTTATTATATTGGAATGGCCCAATGATGAACTAACTCTTCAATTATTTGTCCTTAGCCATATAGAGTGTTATGTTATATACCAATTATTTTATGTATTTTGTAGTTACTTGGGAATTTCTTTCATCAGATCATTAAAAAAAAAAAGCCTTACATGACCAGCCCTGTCATTAATCAGCAAATATTTATTTGGTACTTTTTATGTAGAAAACACTGAGAAATATAAATAGATATAAGTCTGTCCATAAGGGTTCCCCCTGCCCCAAATTCAGCTTATACTTTTCTTCCAGAGAAGTGTCTTTATCTCTATCTTTTGATACATCAGTCAGTTCCTTGCAAAATATTCCACGTGACAACAAACACATAACTTAGTTTTTAACTTATATTCCTTTGGCTTCTTTAAGGCATTATATATTCATATAATGAAGACCTTCCCCTCCCCCCCAGTAAAATTCTATACTTTTAAGTTACAGCCCCCCGCCCCCACATATCTCAGCTTTTCCCTATTATCAGCCTCTGGTGATATCCAAGAGTACAGATGATCAGCTTAGACACATAAGGAGATCGATGAGCTTGAAAGTTGGAATGTGGGAAGTTCTGAGTCTCGATTATGTATTCATTAGCTTGAAGGTCACAGTGAAGGGATTAGCAGCTCATTCGGAAGAAGGGAGTTAGCGAACAGTAGAAAATTTTAAATTTTAAAGCTTCAGAGTTTGGAAATTGAGTTGATGTCAATGGAGAAACCCGAGCCAGCAGCTACGAGATGGCTTCTCACTCACACTCCTCAGCCTGGCCTTCAAAGTCCCTCCTTCAAAGATATCTATTTTCCCTGGTGAAACTGAGACTTTTCTTGAGGCTGAGTGCCGCCCTTTTAAAAAGCTTCATGCACTGGCTCAGGGGCATCACGATGCTCAATATCATGGCCAACAGCAGAGGGACTCTTCCTCATTTGGCTTTGGCCACTGTGAAAAAGAAATACCCAAGGCCAAATGGTATAGTTACTGAAAGTGTCAGAACCAGGGCACAAAGTGAGGGTAGGCTGCCTTCCAGTGATCTCCCATGAACTCAAAGAGTATTATATAAAGCAAATGGGCCAGATGCGGACTCTTCCGGGCAAAGTGAGCTGAAAACTTTTCCTGAACACCAAGGTTGGTCCAACTCCCTGACGGTAGAGCCAGACAGAGTGAACTTCATCAATTCTGCAAGGTAATAAGGAGGTAGCATTGGGTAATGATCTTTAACGCTTGTGCAAATCTTTCTGGGCCTCAGTTTCCTCATCTGTGAAACAAGGAAGCTGGACTAGATTCCTTCTAGTCTAAAGCTACAATCCTATGAGGTCCAGGGATTTCTGGGGATCCTATGATCCACAAAAGTCCTCAGAAGCCCATGCGGGGTTTCTTCTTGAGCGGTTGTGAGCCTGCAAGGGAAGGAGTGTGTCGGGAGGGCAGGCTCTGGATGCTTGAATTCTGGGAGTGGAACACAGAGCTGAACCCTGGGTCAGGGGAGAAGAGGCTCTGACTATTTGGATTTTGTGTGCAGGGGGCAGAGGAGCTCCCTGGGTGGGGAGAGAGGAGGGTCTGGGTCCTTGGATTCTGGGAGCGTGGCACTGAGCACCTCCCCTGCTCAGAGGTGGGGAAGTTCTGGCTGCTTGGATTCTGGGATTGGGGGGTAGAGCGGCTTCCTGAGTCTAGAGGAGGGAGGACTGCAAGATAGTCTCGAAGCGTCTGTCGCCGTTCACGGGGTACGCTCCGGGCCCACGGCTCCTGAGACAGCTCCAGAGACTGAGAAGCTTCAGATGTCCTGTGGAGGGGGCTAGGAGCCTCATGGTGACCGTCGACGTCAGAGAAGTCAGAGGTGGTTCTGACAGACGAGAAAGAGCTGGAGAGCTGGGTCCGCCTCTTCTCCCGTGACTGCCGCTTTCTAGGTACCTGGCTGCCGCCTTGCTGGCTGTCCCACCAAATGGCTCCCTTCCCCTCCCAGGAGGCTTCCAAACGTTCGGTCAACTTGTCCTCAGGACCAAAGGGCTCGTGTGCAGGGGGAGGCTCTGAGGGAGGGAGGGGTCCCAGGTCCCCTTGTTGCAGCAGCCGGCCTTCAGTCATGGCGGCCCGGAGGCCCTCTCGGACCTTCCCTTTGTCTTCATCCTTCAACCATCGGAGATAGCGTTGGGAGAAAGTAGGGGGTGTCCAAGAGGGGAGAGCTTGGGGAACCTGCAGCAGGGTCTTCAGCCAACGGCGGCAGCACGCAACAGCCCGTGGATTCCAGGAAGCAGCACCGGGGTCAGGAGCTGCGTCCAAGGACGGCAGAGCAGAGGTCTGGTCGTGAGAATCGAGCTCTGGGTCATCAGCGTGGTCAGTGGAAGAGTTACTATCTTGGAGAGAGTCAGCATTTGTGGAAGTGGTGTCTGGCTGGAGCCAGAGACGCTGATAAAAAACATCTCCGGCGGCTGAGAGTTGGAACAGCAGCATGGTGGGACTGGGACAGCGTGGTGGTACGACAGCAGTCAAGCCTGGGGAAAGCCCAGTGAAGAGGACCTCAGATCCCGAGCTGTCGAACTTGGACAGCAGCCCACCAACCTCGAAACATCCCAATCCCCACCCCCTCATCAGCACATCCCTCGACATGCCTGTGAGGGGGGCCTTGAGACGCTCCTGCAGGAGCTGCTGACCGTGCGGCTCGAGGACCGGGAAGCCAGGGAGCGAGTCGCCGAGCGAAGGCAGTGACTGCGGTGGTGCTGCCAGCTGAGGGCTGCGACTGGACCCTCCTGGGGAAAGACGGGAGGGCGGGGAGTGGGCCAGAGACACCAGCCCAAGCGCCGCCACGGGCTTCCCGCTGGTCCCAGCCTCAGACCTCACCTGAGAGATGCAACATCCGCAGGTGACCCCCAAGTCCCCCGAGCAGCAAGGGAAGAGGCGCCCCCGGACGGGGTGGGGGCAGGAGCTGAGCCAGCAGTGGAGGAGACATGAGCGCGTGGGTCCACTTCATCATTGGGACAAGAGGCAGACGCTCGTCCAGCAGGTAGAGAGAGAACTGGGGGAAGCGTGACTCAAGTCAGGCGGGCAGCACCCACTCTGCGTGTACACGCCCTGGAAACTTTGGGGAATGGGGGAAGGGCCATTGGGATGAGAGCAAGGCATCTGCACGGGAGAATCTCCCTTACCTGGGTACAGATGAGATGGAGGGTGGGACTCAGGGAGAGAGGACTGGACGTCCCCAAGTACTGAGCCAATAAGATCCGCTCCCCTCGTTGACACGAGGCTTCAGCCCCTACACGGAAAAGGAGCTCACCACAGTCTGAGGGACCCTGAGGTCAGAGACACGGACGAAAGGTCACATCCCTGTGCCCCAGAGCCTGCGCCCCCATCGACACCCCTGATACCCTATATGGTCAGTGAGAATTACCAGCCTGACCCCGTACCCGAACGTCTGTGAGTCTGACTCCAGTGCGGTCAGCGACAGTCAGCATCCGGGGGTGAGCGGTGAAGTCTGCCCAGCGCCACGAAGAGGGGTCCTTGAACACAAGGGTCTCAGGGTCCTTGTGTATTTGCTGCAGCCTTGGGAAGAGAAGGAGAATGTGCCTTACTCTTCATGGCTAACAGGAAGACGCCCAGACTTACTTGGGGTGTGTCTGACTGAGGATGATGGCAGCCAGGCCTGGGAAAGCCTTTGGAGCGGGGCATCAGGGGAGGCTGGTCAGATCTGACCTAGGGGTAAACATTACCCATTCTGGGGGCTCCAGAGACACACAGCTCCCGAGCGACTGCAGACTGCCAGCTCTCCGGGAAGATGAGGGCTGCAGGGAGGGAGTGAGGGATGTCAGCATGGGCATCCCCTTCCCTGTCTGTGGTACACATCCCAGGTGCCCACCTCACCTGAGGCTGATCCCTGTGGCTCCCTTCTCCATACCCAGCACCTGCAGGGGCTCGGGATGCCCTTGACGACTGATCTTCCACACAGCACAGTGATGATCAGAGCGGACAGCCACCAGAGCTGAGGAGAGCGTAGGGGTTAGCTGAAAACAGTCCCACTCTCTACTGGCTGGGATTGGGGGCAAGGGACACCAGGAGCCAAATCAGTGCAGGCTCAGGGGTGGAAAACGGGGCCATTGAACGAGAGGTTTCTAGGTCTCACCTTCCTCCTGGACTGTGCGGGTCACCACCTGCCGGACTGGTCCCCGGAGCAAGATGCGAGTTGGGTCTCCAAGGGCCTGGGGCTCGCTGGTGGGGGACAGCTTTACCTTCTGGAAATCTGAGCAGCTAGTTAAGGCAGTCTTTAAAATTTAGGACCAACGTCTAGAAAAGATCTTTGAAACCATGTCTTCTAAGCCATTTTAATAGAGCCTGAAATCCCACTCAGGTACTTGGATCACGGATTGAGCATTCTACATCTGGCCAGCTCACTTCAGGCTCATTAGCCCCAGAGCTGGTCCCTCTCAGGCTTCCTGTACCCCTCTCCTTTCCCCCTCAGGCTTCCTGTACCCTTCTCCTTCCCCCCTCAGGGAATAAGTCCCTGGCCAGAGAGGATAAGCCAGTGTCCTCCCTCCTTCCCACACAGGGATACTCAGCTGGTCATAGGCTCGCCCGGCAGGGTAGACCAGCTGCCCAACATGGGGTTTGGCCCCTGGGACCCAACCGAGAGCCCCGCCCGTAGAGGCTTCATCCAGCAGCAGCTCCTTCCAGCGGCCCTCCAGTTCCTCATGCAGCAGCCCCCCAAGCAGACCTTCCACTTCCTCACCCAGCACCGTGCCCCCCAGGAGGGAGAACCGTCGCTGACGGGTGCTCAGGTGCGCCCAGGGGCACCTGGGAGAGGAAAGATCCCATTAAAAATAATACCAGATCACCATTTCCAAAACACAGAAAGGAACACAAAGCACTTTTCTTACAGCAACCTTTCAAGGTAGGCTGTGTAAGGATTATTATCCCCATTTTACAGATGAGGAAACTAAGGCTCAGAGTCACACAACTGATACATGTCACAGCTGGGACTTGAACCCAGGTCCTCTGACTCCAGGGCTTCCATTGTAGCCACTGAGTTAGCCCAGGAGGGCAACTAAGGAGAAAGCTGGTAGATAGCTGGGGGATATTCTGGTCCCACCTCCAAACTCTCCCTTCTTCCCAATCCTACAACCACCTAGTTTTGACTAACCCTTGTTTCTCGACTAACCCCAAACCCCCACTCCTCCCTTTTCTTCTCCTTAGGTCACTTGCCCCTTGGGTTGATGTCCACCGAGGTCCTGGAGCAATCGTTCTGCATTCATCACCGTCCTGCCCTTGCGGGATTTCTGCAGAGAACACTTCAGTTACTTCTTGCCCCTGGCCAGCCTGCCATCACCTCCCCATGTCATCGGGAGGTCACTTTTATCAGTTGTCCAGCACTCAAATTTACCTTTGGTTCTCCCAGGTTAAAATTCTCCTGCAGCAGCTTTCCTAGGGGCCCGAAGGCAATGTCCCCGTGATCCCTCAAGAACTGGTTGAGCTGATGAGGGACAGAGACAAGGACAGTGACCACAGATCACAAGCGCCAAGATCACAGCCCAGAGGAACCCTTGAAAGACTCCATGCCCGCTCACCTGATCTATAACATCTATCGTTGCTTTGGCCCCGAATGGATGCCTCAGTCTCCCCCGGAAGAGCAGATCTCGGGAGGTCAGCTCAGAGTCCCAGGGGTCTGAAGGGAAAATTAGGGAGAAGGGGCCCAAGGTTGGCAAAGGGAGCTGGGTTGGGCAGGAAATATGAGAACATATTTAGGAGGAGGTGCTAAGAAGGTAGATAAAAGTCTAAAAGGCAATCCCAGGAACCTGGTAGGGGGATCATTCTAATCCCTTGTCCACAATAGGAAATGTGTACGTCTGACAATGCTGGGCTTTGAGATGAGAGCCTGCGGTCCAAACAGCTGCTGCTGAATGAAGCTTCCATAGAGGGAGTTTTAGGCTGGGTTCCAGGAGGGAGGGCTTGGCAGGGGCTGGGGGGAGGGGGTATGTCAGAAATCAGCAAACAGGGTTGGGGCAGGAACAGCAAAAAGGGACCTCTCACCAGCACCGGGGCGCAGGAAGGGCAGGGGCCCAGGACTGTCAGACCTCCATCTTCCCCACTTCGTCACATAAGACGCCTCATGCTGTGGGTTAACCTAGGAGACAAGGAAATACTCCAGTAGTCTACATCTGGAGCATCAAAGTTAATCTCCGTTTTGCGGGGGGAGTGTGGTACGGTGAAGAGACCATCGGCTTCACAGTCAGAGCACCATCTTTGCTGCTTACTGCCTGTGTGACCTGGGGAAAGTCTTCTTGCCTCTCTGGTCCTCAGTTTCCTCATCTTGTACTTCCAGAGGCCCAGGACCCATTCAGTGCTCGTAAATTACCACTGCTGAGCTAAGTCAAATCTTTTACATCTAAACACTTTCTGTTCCTCTAGGGAATGTGTGAGCCAGTGATGGGTTTGGAGTCAGAGGACCTGGGCCACTTAGTGGCTGTGTGACTTCAGGCCTCATATTCCTTACTTGTAAAATAAGGGGGCTGGAAAAGATGGTCTCAGAGAGCCCTCCCAGGTCCAAATCTACGATCCCAATGACTTTTAGAGAGCACAGGTGATGCGATTCTTTTTTATTATGGAATTGGGGACAGGGAAAGCTCTCCAAGTCAAGTCTCTGGGGTGCCCAGGACATCAGACACCACTGCAGCTGAGCAGAAGTGAATAGAACCGTTTGTACGGTCCAAACAACAGTTCCCCAGAAAGGGCCCTGGGGCTGCTCCTACCGACGGATCCTGGGTCTGGGGGGGCTTCAGCAGCTGCATATAGTCACTCCAAGCAGGGGCCAGATAGGAGCCGGGGGAATCACTCAGGCCAGGGGGACCAGGCAAAAAGAACGTGGGAAAGAGATCGTCAGGGAAATCCATCTGTGTGTAGGCTGGTGCCCAGTTCTCCGGTCTGTTTCTGTGGAACAAAGATAAGAAGGGCACGTTTTCTTTCTCTGATCAGCAGGACCCTGCACAAAGGATTTCATGGGGCCACAAACCTCCTGGGGAAGAGGTAACAAGGAGTGTTTCTCTACTGGGAGCACAAAGGAATCCAAAGCCAAATCTGTCTTCTGCAATGTTCTCTGTCACAGGAGTCCACCTGCTCATAGCGTGAAGCGAGCACAGTTTATTCATCTATTCATTCAGCTGCCATCTATCAAGCACCTAACACAGGCAGCAGCCGTGCTATTCTTTGAGGCAGAAACAATTTAAATAAACTCTGGTTGCTGCTGCCATGAAACTCAAGTCTAGGATGAGACACAAAAGTGACCAAAAAGCACAATACTGAAAAATGCATTAAGAGATACAAAGTGTTACCTATGCGTGATCCAAGGTGGAAAGTCATTATCTACTTGAGAGATTAATCCTAACCCTGGACCCCCCCCCATCTGCCTCCAACCCCTTTACTGCTGCTACTGAAAAGAGCTAGAGGTGACTACAAAATTGTAGACTGAGTCCACTGCAGAGTTCTGCTAGCTAAACTCAGACGGGCCTTTAATGCTACATACTTTTGTTGTCATCCAGTCGTTTCAGTCTCATCTGACTCTTCATGACCCTATTTGGGGTTTTCTTGGCAGAGATACTGGAGGGGTTTGCCATTTCCTCCTCCAGCTCATTTTACAGATGAGGAAACTGCGGTAAGCAGGGTTAAGTGACTTGCCCAGGGTCACTAGTAAGTAAGTAAGTAAGCTAGTAAGTATCTGAGGCCAAATTTGAACTCAGAAAGATGAGTCTTGATTCCAGGCCTGGCACTCTATCCATGCCACCCAGCCGTCCCAATGCTGCAAGACAATCCTTTAAAATCCTTCCTAATTGATTCCCTATCCCACTCCTGGGTGGCTGTTCCAAACCTTCTCTTCTTTTCTCAAGCTTCCCAACCCGTTTCCAACCCCTTTCAACTGAGAGGCTGAAAAAACCGAGGCCATTCCCAGACAGCTCCCTTCCTTTTCTCCCCATCTCATATTCTTTCAACAATCATCCCCATTAGATCCTCCTTTCCTCCAGTCTGGGATGAAGAGCAGGCCCTTCTTGCCAAGGCCAACCCCTCCACAGGTACCCTCTATCCCATCCCCTTCTGTCTTCTCCAGCTTAGGGGTCCCACTCTCAACCCACTCTGTCTAATCTTCAATTGCTGGCTATTTCCTGGCTTCCTCCCGGCTACCAACAAACTCCCAAGTCTTCCTCAGTCTTAAAAACCACCATCCCTACAATCATTCCACCTCCTCCCCTTCTCGGCTAAACTAGACAAAAGCTGTCTGTCTGCTCTCAGTGCCTCTACTTCCTTTCTTCTCACTTAACTCTTTACAGTCTGGCTCTAGGCCTCATCATTTCACTGAAATAACTCTCCAAAGTTATCAATGATCTCTCTCTCTCTGTTTTTTAAGGCAATTGGGGTTAAGTGACTTGCCTAGGGTCACACAGCTAGTAATTGTCAAGTGTTTGGTCTGAGGCCAGATTTGAACTCAGGTCTTCCTGACTTCAAGGCCGGTGCGCTATCCACTGTGCCACCTAGCTGCCCCATCAATGATCTCTTAAATGCCAAATCTAACAACTTTTCCTCAGTCTTCTTCCTTCTTGACCTCTCTGCAGACTGTGGCACTGTCTACCACCTTCTCCTCCTGGAAACTCTTTCCTCTGGGTTTTCATGAAACTGTTCTCTTTTGGTTGTCCTCTTATTTCTCTGACCATTGCTTCTCAGTCTCCTTTGCTGAAGGATCACCCAAAAAATGACCACTAACTGTAGTGTACCTCAAGGCTCTGTCTCTGATCCTTTCTATACCCTCTCATCTGGTGATCTCAATTCCCACGTGCTCAGTGACCAATGCCTATAGGACTCCTAGAATACCTAAAGGCAGTGAGACAGCTAGCTCAGCAGATAGTGTGCTGGGGTCAGTAAGACCTGAGATAAACTCTGACCTCAGGCATATGCTAGCTGTATGACCCTGGGCAAGTCACTTAGCCTGTTTGCCTTAATCCTTGAGGGAAGGAAATGGTGAAGCACTCCAATATCTTTGACAAGAAATGCACAGTTTGATCCACAGGGTCATAAAGAGGTAGATGACTGAACAACAACATAGTCTATTTTGTGGGGTAAAGGGTTGTTTGTGGGGTTGAGTGAGCCAGTCTGGGGGAAATACAGAATGATAATAACATGTGACCCAGTTGCTGTGTAGCTGAAGTGGGATGGCGAAAGTCAATGATGATGCGAACTGAGACGTCAGCATGTGAGAACAGATGACCAAATTTGAGGAATCTAAAGATAGGAATGAAAGATATAGAATGAAAGGGGTAAATCAGGCTGGAGCATGTCTGAAGTAGGGAAAAGCCTGACATATCCAGGGAGAGTGGGGCTATGGAGAACCTGGGTTATAGTCTATCCAGAACAGATTTGGTTATGAGGAATCACTGAGACAGCCAATGTAGCAGAAATAGGTAGGATGGGGAAGCAAGTCAGGTCAAGTATGCATTTATTAAGTGCCTACTACGTGCCAGGCACTGTGCTCAGAACTGGGGCTCTCAAGGAAGGCAAAAGTCCCTGTTTTCAAGGACGTCAGAGTCTAATGGTGGAGACAACGTGCCAGCTGTAAAGAGAGAGAGGAAGAGAGTAAGTAAACTGGAGATAATTAGCAAATATTAAGGAAAGCTGGGAAAGGCTTCTTGCAGAAGGTCAGGAAGAGGCTCAGAGTTCTAAGCATGGGGGACAGCCAGGGAAGATGCCCCGAGTCGGGAGACGGAGTGCTGCATTCTAGGAACAACCAGGAGACCAGAGTCACTGGACAGCAGAGTACTCGGAGGGGACTAAGATGCAAGAATCCTGGAAGAGTAGGAAGGGGACAGGTTGTGAAGGAGAATGTTAGAGCCGAAAGAGCCTCAAGAAAGCAAAGCCTAGAAAGGGAAGGAAACTTACCCACTGTTCCACAGCTCATCAGTCGCAGACTCGGGATTCAAACCCTAGTCCAACCTGTCTCGTGAAGCGGGCCGGGAACACTGTTCCATCATGGAAAGCACCTCCGACTTGGCAGTTGAGAGCAGGGCCTAAATCCCGGCTTTGTCACCTTAGCCGGGTCCCTACCTGCTTCCTCCTGTACCTCAGTTTCCCCTAGCCTGTAGAAGCCGATTGAATGACCCCCACCCTGCAGAAAAGGGAGCCAAGATTACCCAGACCTCTTCATCTTCTTCAAGTGTAAAACGGTGGTTGTGACTCCATCGAACGCGAAGTCGGTCCCACCAGTCCCCACGAGTGGGCTCCAAAACTCCACCGGGCAGACACGTGCGAAGCCGGAGAAGAACGCCGGCAGAACGAAGGAAACTGACGACTCCCTTACTGCGCATGTGCGGGGCGACGGGTGGCCGGCCGGGGGATTTCCCAGGACTCTGGCGCCAGCCCCAGACCTGAGCACCGGCAGTCCTCCCCCCGGAGACAGCTGCCTTACGAAATATGGCGGCCTTCTGAGTCTCATCCTCCAAGTAGCAGCCGCCATTCTCCTCGGCGCAGGGTTGGTCCCGCCCCCTTATCAGCGGCGTGGATGGTGGCCCACGGGGGCCATTCCAAAACCTCAGGAGAAACGCGGAGCTGGAGAGGAGGAGCCTTCTCAGTAACTCGGAGTCTCTGGGAGGAGAGGAGAGTTCTGACCCTTTTTAACTGCCCCTGCAACGTTCACCCACCTTCCGTTCCCGTTCATTTTGCTAATGCAAAGCACTGTCACTACCATTACGTCATCATCGTCATCCCTGTGCAGAAATTACGCCTATTTTCCATTTATTTATTTATTTATTTTGGCAATTGGGATTAAGTGACTTGCCCAGGGTCACACAGCTAGTAAGTGTCTAGTGTTTGGTCTGAGGTCACATTTGAACTCAGGTCCTCCTGACTTAAGGGCCAGTGCTGAATCACGCCTATTTTGCAGATGGGAAAAACGGTTCAGAGAGAAGAGAGTTGTCCAAAGTGATGAAGCAAATAGGATCATGATAGATCTGCAGTTGGAAGCGGCTCACCATTAGATTGTCAGCTCCTTGAGAGCAGGGACTCTTTTTTGCCACTGGCACACAGAAGATGATTAAGCAAACAATGTTAATTTACCGACTGATTTAATCCAAACCTTTTATAGGCTGCTTCGCACATAGTGCTGTATAAATGCTATTCCTTCGTTCGTTCATTCATTCATGAAACGAGATGTAGAAAGCCCATAGATTGTGAAATCCTTGAAAGTAGGGATTTTTTTTTGCCTTTCTTGTATCTGTATTTCAATGTAAGTGGTTTCCTTTATATATATAATATAATGTATAATTATATTAACTATATTTCAATATATAATGCTTTTTCATATTTAATGCAATATAAAATATGATTCTGAGAAGGGGTCCCTAGGCTTCACCAGGCTGCCCAAGAGGTCCATGGCACAAACAAGATGGAAAACTTTGGACTAAGTGATCCGAAAGGGCCCCTTTAGCTCAGATAGTTCATCAGGGAGAACAGATGAAGAGGAATTTTCTGAATGTTGGCCAAGGGCAACATTCTCAGAGATTCCTGTCTGTTAATTAGCACCTGAATGACCTTGGACCAATAGCTTAACCCCTCTGTGCCCCAGTTTCTCCATCTGTAGAATGGGCTAGATATTGTTAAGGTCCCAGCGACCCCTGATGTTCTGTGACTATGATTTCAGCTCTCAGAAAATGCCTCCCTTATAAAGGAGCAGCTTACCATCATCACCACCCCATTTTCTTTCCCTTTCCTTTTTTCAGGTACGTGCAAGAGAGCCAAGTATCAGGAACTTCCACATCACTAGAGCCTACATTTAATACACATACAAGTTTTTTCAAAAAATAGTGATTATAAACAACATTATTATTTTTAACACTTTGGGGTTGTCTTGGATCATTGTATTGCTGAGAATAGCTAAATCATTCACAGTTAATCATTGCACAATGTGGCTGTTACTATGTACAATGTTCCCCTGGTTCTGCTCACTTCACTGCATCAGTTCATACAAGTCTCTCCAGGTTTTTCTGAAGTCTGCCTGCTCATCATTTCTTCTAGCACAATAGTATTCCATTACATATACCACAACTTGTTCAACCATTCCTCAATTAACAACAACAATAATAATAGCTAGTATTTACACAACTCTTTAAGGTTCGCAAAATACTTTATAAACATAGTCTCATTTTATCCTTACAACAACTCTGGGAGGAAGATGCTATTATTACCTTTATTTTTATATGGTACTTCAAAGTTCTCAAAGTACTTTACATATATTATGTCTTCTGAAACTGATAACAGTGAACTTTGCTCATATAATTCTTGGGTTTGTTTTAACAGGTGTACTCCCAGGTATTTTATACTATCTAGAGTTATTCTAAATAAACTATGAAATAGGTATTGAAGATTTCCCCACTTTACAGATGAGAAAACTGAGACTTAGGTTAAGTGCCGTACCTACGGTCTCACAGTTAAGAGTGTCAGAATCAGGATTTGAGCCCAAGATTTCCAAACTCCAAGCTCCATACTCTGGGCAGTTGGCTGGAGCACTGGAAAGAGTAGCTAGGCCTGGAGGTAGGAAGACCTGAGTTCAAATGTAGCCTTAGACATTTTCT